TTTTTTTTTTTTTGAGGCAGGGTCTTGCTAGGTTGCTTACAGCCTTGCTAAGTGGCTGAAGGCTGACTTTGAACTTGTGATCCTCTTACTTGAACGTCCTGAGTCTCTGGGATTATAGGCATGGGCCACTGTGCCCAGGTAGCCTTTTTTATTTTTGAGACAGGGTCTTTCCACACATAAGGCTTACAGTTTGCATACCTTGCAAATCACCTCACCATTCACTTTCCCAGTGGACTGTGAAAATCTACAAGTTCAAACTTGGATGTGTTTTTCATATACTTTACCCCTTCACTCCCTTGTACACCAATTCGAAATCTTTTTTCCCATTCTTTTTTTTTTTTTTTAAGAGAGAGAGGAGAGAGGATTTTTAAATTTATTTTTTAGTTTTCAGTGGACACAACATCTTTGTTTGTATGCTGAGGATCGAACACGGGCCACACGCATGCCAGGTGAGCACGCTACCGCTTGAGCCACATCCCCAGCCCCTTTTTTCCCATTCTTGAAGCATGCCAGTTTAGGCTTTTGCTCTTATTCATTCTTTGCCCCCAGATTCATGTGATTGACTTCTTGTCATTTAAGTCTCAAATCAGTTATCACTTTCTTAGAGGGGTCTCCTCTGATCATCCAATTTAAAGCAGGTTCTTTAATACTCATTATTACTACCTCATTTAATTTTCTTCAGTATCTGAAATCTGTTACCACTTATCTTCTCCCCAGCATTTTACCTCATGAAGGTAAGAGACTTGTGTGTTCATTACTGTAGTTCCAGCCCCTAACATCTCAATATTGGTTGAGTGAATGAAGAAATGATTGAGGGACTTCTGAACAGTCAATGTTTGATGGTCAAAAAGCCTTGCTTTTTACTGTTGCCAGTTTACCCAGGAGCTCAGCCAGGGTAGGCCTCCTGCTCTAGCCTGTCACTGTGTCTCAGATCCTAACTCATTGGTTTTAGGACACTCCAGTTTCTTTTTTTGAGGAAGGGGAGTAACTAAGGATTTAACCTAGGGGCAGTTAACTATTGAGCCACATTCTCAGCCCCTTTTTTAACAAATTTTGAGACAGGGTCTCTCTAAGTTGCTTAGGGCCTCAGCCTCTGTAGTCACTGAGATTACAGGCATGTGCCACCATGCCTGCTTTAGGAAATTCCAGTTTTAGTGTTTCAGGAAATAGTCTCTGAGCCCAAGCTATGATGTGGGATGGGGTATAATTCCAGTTCTGTGTTTATTGGTCACGCTCTCCAGAGACCCCTGTTCTTAGTCCCTTTACATGACAAGAACATTAAGGCCACACCGGATGAGATGGAACTGCACTGTGGAGCACAGGTTCAATGTGTCCAATAGAGAAAGCAACAGGTAACAAGGTTCTACCTGAACTAGAGAGAAAGCAGCTACTGGTAGGTGTTTTTGTTAGCTATTTTGCCACTGTGACTTAAAGACCTGACCAGCACAATTGTAGAGAAGGAAAAGTTTATTTGGGGGCTTACAGTCTCAGAGGTCTCAATCTACAGACAGCAGGCTCCATATCTCGGGGCTCAAGATGAGACAGAATATCATGGCAGAAGAGTATGGCGGTGGAAAGCAGCTCACATGGTGATCAGGAAGCAGAGAGAATCTACTGGACAGATACAAAATATATACCACAAAGCCATGTCCCCAGTGCCCACCTCTTTCAGCCACCCCTTACCAACCTTCAGTTACCAAGCAGTTAATTAATCTCCTAACAGGGGATTAATTCACTGATAATGGGTTCAGACTCTCAACCCAATCATTTCTTCTCTGAACCTTCTTGCATTTTCTTGCACATGAGCTTTTGGGGGACATCTCACATCCTAACCATAGTAGTGAAATAGTTACCTTCCAGCAGCCTTTGGTCCAAGCTCAAGAGGATGGCAAACCACAACAAAAGAACTTTTTGTGTCTCAGTGGTAGAGTGCTTACCTGGAATGTACAAGGTCCTGGGTTCAATTTCTAGCACCTCACAAATAACTTGTCCCTTTACTGTAGAGGATATACACTTACCTGCTTTAAGGGACAATAGAAGTGAAATTCACCATCTTTGGGCAGCCTCCAGTTCAGTGCACAGCTGAGAATCAAGCTAATGGTAATGTGGGGGGAGGAAGCTCAGCATAAAATATTACATGAGCTCCTAAAGTCCAGTATGAGCACAGCACTCTTCTAACAACAACAACAAAAAGATGAAAATTAAAATGCAATGAACCACTGTTTACCGACCACTTTTTTTTCTTTTGATGTGTGAGATTGAATCCAGGGTTTCATTCTACTAATACACTACATCACCAGCTCTTAATAAATCGCCTAATATTCTGACAGTGGTGTCTCTCTTAGCAGTCCTACAATTAACTCAGGACCATTTTACCACTGTGTCCCATCCCTTTTTATTTTTCACTTTTGAGACTGGGCTGTTCTAAGTTGCTGAGGCCTCAAATTTGAGTTCCTCCTGCCTCAGCCTGAGTAGCTGGAATTACAGGCATGGGCCATCTTGCCCAGCTGATGTAGTTTCTTTATTTTTCCTAAATGACTTTTGCAGTTAGTTTATTTGAATTAGTATCCAAACAAGGTTCACACATTGTAACATTACATTTTATTGATAGGTCCCTTAAGTCCTGTATTTTATTTATTTTTTAATATTTATTTTTTAGTTGTAGTTGGACACAAAACTTTATTTTTATGTGGTGCTGAGGATTGAACCCAGAGCCTCACACATGCTAGTGAGCCCTCTTCCGCTGAGCCACAAACCCAACCCTAAGTCCTGTATTTTAAATATGGTTGCTTTGACCCCTATGTCTTAACATGTTCCTATTAATCTGTATGTTCTACAAACAAGTTGATATTAAAGTTTGATCAGGGGCTGGGGATGTGGCTCAAGTGGTAGCGCGCTCGCCTGGCATGCATGCGGTCTGGGTTCGATCCTCAGCACCACATACAAACAAAGATGTTGTGTCCGCCAAGAACTAAAAAATAAATATTAAAAAAAAATTCTCTCTCTCTTTAAAAAAAATAAAAATTAAAAATAAAGTTTGATCAGGTTCAAATTTTGGCAGGATGTGATGCTCTGTACTTTGTATGTATCTCACCAGGGAATGATATGATGGAATGATTATTCAGAGTTTCAGATGGGTGCGGTGGCACCCACCTATAATCCCTCCCTACTTGGGAGGCTGAGACAGGAGGATCTCCAGCTAGACTATTTACCAAGACCTATCAAAAAGAAAAAAATAGGGGCTGGGATTGTGGCTCACTGGGAGAGCACTCGCCTAGCACATGTGAGGCCCTGGGTTCGATCTTCAGCACCACATAAAAATAAATA